AACATTTAAGCAGACATAACTAAAATATTTTTACTTACATTTACAGTTAATCAGTTCAGGAAAAACATAGCTAATATAACCACATAAACAACAATCCAAATTAAAGAACTGTATTCCAAATTGCTCACTGATGTATTCTGAGAATGAGCTAGCCTTAAGGTCATTTCACATTACTGCCTAGAAAAAAGGATTCCAGGCATAAATGCAATTTCAAACCTAGACAATGTCTCTGTTTGAAAACACTTTAAATCTTTGAGATCTAATTAGTGGCTCACAAATCATGGAAGGCTCTAATTAGTGCTTCCTAGGAAACTCTACTTTCAGACAATGCCGTCTCCCCCTCCCCAAAAGGAAGTAGAATCTAATTAAGAGGGGGAAAAAAGAAACTCCTGGATTCCAAATGTTAAAAAAACAAAACAAGACAAAAAAAATTCAACCATCTGCCCTCTTCAAAACACCAGTCAGTCCGAACTGGAAATCTTCCTTCACCACACTGTCGGTCTGACTTAATCGGTGATCATAACTGCTTCCAGAAGGAAAGCAGTAGGGAAATCCACAGGTAGAGAAGAGTGTCCAGAACTCATTCCAAAAACCCCAAATGAGTAAGATGGGGAAACTCATTTTCAGACAGCGCATTTTCCAGAGATCCTCCTGCCCTTCTGCATACGTTCTCTTCCTCTACAGATGCTTCTTGTCATCTTTAATTGTGAGGCTTTAGAGAGGACAAGCGTAAGAGATGCAATAGATTATGACAGAGGAAGCCCCAAGAGAATGAGAAAGATTACACTACTGGCATATGTACATACAATTCCTCCTACCTTGGCATGGTTGCGCTAAAGCAAAAAGACAATACATTTGCATTTGTCTCTAGATAGTTGAAAAAGTTACTGTTTAAACACCGAAAGTCTAGCTTGCTTGTAAATTGTGTTCTCTGGTCTTTGTTTGGAAGTTGTGCTCTTTGGTGTTGGCTATTTTCATTAATAATGTGGAAATACAGGGATAGGAACATTAATTACTATATACAATTTATTCTGCCTCTGCTAGTTATGAGAAAGGATAGTGACTCAAAAACTACCTACTTCTTTTTTAATATATATATATAAATCTTTTATTTTATTTTAACTCAAACATCATCTTCCATTAAGCAGTGTGTCATCTGGGAACATATATATTTGTGCAAATATTTTATACAATAACAATTACAATTTACTAAAATTGTATAATTTCATTTTTTATTAAATAATAAAACACATTTATTATTTTATCTATTCTTAACTTAATACTAATATATATCATACCTAAATGTTATAACAATTATCTTTTTATTTAACTTTGTTAAAACATTTTCTCTATTTCACTCTTTTGCTTTTTTCCACTTTTCATGTTTATTCTCTAACCAATGATAAAATAATTCCCATATATTATAATAATCAGATTGTTCCTTCTCTTTAATTTCAAGTGTTAACCTATTCATTTCTGCACATTCTAATATTTTCCTACTCACATTCTCATCCATATACTGCCTACTTCGGATCATCTATATTCCAATCCCTCTACGCTGGGTGTTTTGCAGCATATTGCAAAGTTGCACTGTTTACATCGAGAGAAGCTCTTTACACTTTTCCATATTGCTAATTTTTGTTTATATAGGTAGTCCTCATCTTGCCACCACAATTGAACCCAACATTTCCATTGCTAATTAGGCGAGACAGTTGTGAAGTGGGTTTTGCCCCATGTTATGACTTTTCTTGCCACAGTTGTTAAGTGAATCACCACAGTGGTGACAGTTGTCAGCATTCCAAGTATCTTGCAGAGTTAAATCAGAGTCCAAGGCAAAACTTCCTTAAAGTTCCAATTTAATAAGTCAGACATCTTGGTACATCTGTGGAATCCCAAATCTGAAAAACTTCCTGGGATTCCACCCAGTTGAAAGTTCATGATCTTATCCCCACACCCAAAAATCCATCACATGGTCCAATCTTCTTCTTCCATGTTGGCACTCCACCCAGCTGGTTCCGGTCAGGTGCAGAGGTGCGGAGACANTTTTTTTATTTATAGGCCGCCCTTTTCCCTGAGGGGACTCAGGGCGGCTTACAATCAAAAAGGAAGGGGAGTGTAGGACAATACGAAAAAAGAAATGTGCACAAAATAAATTAGACAATAAAACGCAAAATTCACTCAGCATTCGGGAGGGGCGAAATAAGATTAGGGAAGCAGGAAGGCGGAGGAGAGCCCGAAAGAGTGCTGTTTTCGTGGAAATGTCTAACCAGGCTGGCTTGGCTTCTAACAAGGGTCTCCCATGCTGTGAAAGATGCTGAAGTTGTGTGTATGTGTGTGTGTTGGGGGGAGGAACCTTTGTTCAGGTCGGCCAGATTTAAGAGTGCATAGACACATAATAGAGAGCAGGGTGGTAGAATTTTAGCAAGGGGTTCTCTGCCCGGTTGCTGGGTGGGCGTGGCCTAGTTGGCCTCAGGCACCATAACAGGGGAGGGGTATTTTTGCCCTCTCCGGGCTCCAGAGGCTTTCCTCCAGCCTCTGGGAGGGCGGAAACAGGCTCCATAGGCCCTTTGGAGGCCAAACTTCCGGTAGGCCCATTTTTCACCCTCCCCGAGCCTCCGTACATGCCCTGCTCTTACCTGCATCCAAAAGGGGCCGCTTGGGGACTCCTGAGAGGGGCCAGGTGGGGTGGGCAGGGCCAGCCAGGAGTGGGATTTGGGGGTTCTCCAAACTGCACAAAATCTTAGCTAGAGGTTCTCCCAAACCCCTGCGAAACCCCCAGCAGCCCACTCCTGCACCCAAGCCACTAACGATGGATGGGGGAAAGCTCCCCTTGCTTGCTCTTTTCATGTCTTTGTCTCAGCAAAGAGATGCTGGGAGGGGGGGAGTGTTTATTGTGGGAGGGGGGAAGGCAAAATAGATGCACAAACTCTTTGGGGATCCAGGGAATTGCTGGCAGAGCAAAGGAACTGCAGTCAGAGAAAGAGAAGGAAGAAGGAACTAGTATATTTATGCGAGAGATAACCAATGCCCAGATTTGCTGAACTGTGCATTTCTGTCTCAGACTTCAAAGGGATTATTTATGATCTGTTCTCAAAAATTAATGTCCGGGGGAGAGTAAGGTGAGGGCCTGCCTGAGCTGCCTTTGTCATTCAGAAGGGACTATACAGGTAGTCCTTGACTTACGACCACAATGGAGACCAAAATTACGTGGGACATTTGTTAAGTGAGTTCTGCCCCATTTTATGACATTTCTCGCCCCAGTTGTTAAGTGAATCCCTGCAAATGATAGATTAGTAACCCAATTGTTAAGTGAATCTGGCTTTCCCATTGACTTACCTTCTCAGAAGGTCAGAAAAGGTGGATCCCATGACCTTAGGACACAATCACGGTCATAAGTACGAACTAGTTGCCAAGGGTCTGAATTCTGATCCCATGACCATGGGGATGCTGCAAAGGTCGTAACTGTGAAAAACAGTTGTCTCAGTGCTGTTGTAACTTTGAATGGTCACTAAATGAATTGTTGTAAATCAAGGACTACCTGTATAGTGTGACCTTTTTGGCCACAGCTGTTAAGTGAATCACTATAGTTGTTAAATTAGTAACACGGTTGTTAAGTGAATCTGAATTGGACATCCAGTTATGAGGCTACTGCTGAACCCCCATAAAAGCTTTACTTATAATTACCTAGACCGTGTATATATGTTTAGTTTTCCTCTGCCATGTTCTCATCATACGCTAATAAATAATAACAACAACAACAACAACAACAATAATAATAATATGAATTGACTTTGCTTGTCAGAAGGTCCAAAAATGTGATCATTTGGACACCGCAAAAGTCTTAAAAATACATGCCAATTGACAAGTGTCCGAAGTCTGATAGTGTGACCACAACAGGAATGCTGCAATGGTCATAAGTGTGAAAAATGGTCATGTCACTTTTTTTCAGTAACTTTGAATGGTCACTAAATGAATGGTTGTAACTGTAAGGTGGGGACTACCTGAATCGGTGATGATGTTCTTATATCCGCAGAGGGCAGAGATGAGCAACAAAGAGGATTAGGGGACTGGAGGCTGAAACATATGAAGAACGGTTGCAGGAACTGGGTATGTCCAGTTTAATGAAAAGAAGGACCAGGGAAGACATGATAGCAGTGTTCCAATATCTCAGGGGTTGCCACAAAAAGGAGGGAGTCAAACTATTCTCCAAGGCATCTGAGGGTAGAACAAGAAGCAATGGGTGGAAACTAATCAAGGAGAGAAGCAACTTAGAACTGAGGAGAAATTTCCTGACAGTTAGAGNAATAAGACCTCTCCGAAAATAAGGCCAAACACTTATTTTGGGGGTCAAAAGAAAATAAGACCATGTCTTGTTTTCGGGGAATGGTAGTAAAAATAAGAAAATAAGATCCTGTCTTATTTTCGGGGAACAGTAGTCAAATGAAACCAGAATCTTCTGGAAAAGGAAGTTGGGGACTTCTAGTCTTCATCTACACGTGCTTTCCACAAGGAAAGGGGGCAGAAACATATTCTAATAACACTGGCTTTATCCGGGTTAGGCAATGTGTTCTATCTAGGAGCATCCTTGAAAATGGGCTGCAAATCTGAACTGGTATACTGTATAGAACAGTTGAATGTGATCAGTGGGAGATAGATGATTAGGTCATGTGACACTAAGTTTTGGAATTTGCTGGCATATTCCTGGGCCTTATTGAAAATACTGATTCTGACTCGTACTTCTAAATGCTTAAGGATTGGTTGCGACAGTGGTATCTGTAATGGTGGTCTCCTGCTTGAGGAAGGGGGTTGGACTAGAAGACCTCTAGGGCCCCTTCCATCTCTTTTTTCTATTTTTTTTTTCATTTTTCTCACCATGTACAGGTATACATCCGAACTAGACTGCGTTGTTTCTCTGTGTCATATAATATATGTGGGTGTATGCATAATTTTGTATTTATTTATTTATGTATTTATTTATTTGTTTTGTCATGTTTATGTAGTGTGCATTGGAGGTGGTGATCCATTGAGACCTGCGTGCAACGAAATTTCATTTTAATGCATGCCGATTAGTGTACATTCAAAGCAACAACGAAGTTATTGTCTCTGTCTTTTGCTATAAGCTGTGATGATGCCCCAATGACAACATGCATGTAACAATGTCATCGTGCAATTGGCGTGCTTGCATCAAAATGCCTGATGCTGGTAAGTACATGAAGTCACAACATACAGGTTGTGACATTTCCCCCTTTGTCTCTTTTGTGAATCCCTACAGACTGGCCAATCTTTGAATGAAATGTCCCCAGTGCGAGCTAGACACACTGTGCAGCTCTTCTCCTTTCATCCGTAGTGGGTTTATTTTTTGGAAAGAGAAACAAGATGGCTGCCCACAAATCGGGCCTTTGAAATATTGCGTCTGAGGCAGGTGATTGCTGTTTGGTTGTTCAGTTCCTTTTGATATTTCATCAAGTGATGGACATCATTTCACGACTGCTTCTTACAGTTCCTGTTAATTCACGCTGGTGTCATCATTAATAATATCTGGCCCCCTCATTATCAGCTTTTTAAATTTTGTTTAATTACCCCTTGATTTTACAAGCATCAAGTTATTCTCCACTGACTCTTGCCTTCCCATTATGTGTCCAAAATGTTTAAGCCTTAATTTTTTATTACGGCCTTTCTAGTTTGGCTTTGGTTCAAGTAGTACTGAATTATTATTTTTCTTTTTGCAGTCCATGATATCCCCAAAAGTTTCTCCAGCATCACTGTACAAAGGCAGCATATTTCTATTTGTTTGTTTTGCCTTCAGCCTTTCTGATTATCCAGTTTTTTTCAGGGCTATGTTGTCACTTGATAGCAATACCACGTAGACTTATACAGCCCTCTCTAAATGGTTTATAGAGTCAGCATAATTGCCCCCAACAATCTGGGTCCTCATTTTACCCACCTTGGAAGGATGGAAGGCTGAGTCAACCTGGTGAGATTCGAACTGCTGAACTGCAGCTAGCAGTCAGCTGAAGTAGCCTGCCGTGCTGCACTCTAAGCACTGCGCCACCTCGGCTCTGATAATACACACCTTCATAAATCTACTTTATTATCGAGCTGTTGCAGTGACTCGTGCCCTCATCCCTACTCAACTGGATTACTGCAGTGCATAAATATTGTACCAGCCCATGAGTGGATATTTTTTCCTAGTAAAATTGGGAAATAGGAACTTATCCATATTACCTATGACTTATTGCCAGATTGTTAAGAGCACTGGACAGCTATTGCTCTTCAAATGGTCTAATTATGCCGGAATGCCGGAAAAAGGAAGATGGTGGTAATTTAGGGAGAAAAGAAAAAGGCACCGTTGAAGAACTGGGAAACAAAATATGGAGCAAGTTCTCTCTTACAGATCCTTGGGGCCTCCTTTTTACTGCTCCAGATAACTGGGGATCTCATTAGCAGACCCCAAAATAAAAACAGGGACCACTGGTAGGAATAATAAAGTTTTGGTGTATGAATGGTGGCCAGCAAATTTTCTAATCCTAACTCTCCAAAAACCAAGTGAAATCCCTTACCTTTCCTATACAGTAATGAGGAATTTGTTTCAAAATAGGCTCCTCAGAACAATTTTTGGGGTACCCAATGGTGCTCCCGTTCCTTTTGTCTATGCCAGGGTTAGGCAACTGAACGACAACTGGAGAATATGTAGACTTCAATTCCCAGAAATCCTGAGTTCCCAATTCTGGGAGTTGATGTCCATAGGTCATAAAGTTACCATAGTAGGTCCTTTCCGCTAGAATGAGTGTGGTGGGTTAGCTTACATGTGGGATGAGAGCAATTGATTCTCTAGCTTCCAGCCTTTTGATGCCACTGTTAACTTTTTCCATAGAGTTGAGACTCTAGAAAGAGTGCAGAGAAGAGCAACCAAGATGATTAGGGGACTAGAGGCTAAGACATATAAAGAACGGTTGCAGGGACTGGATATGTCTAGTTTAATGAAAAGAAAGACTAGGGGAGACATGAAAGCAGTCTTCCAATATCTCAGGGGCTGCCACAAAGAAGAGGGAGTCAAGCTATTCTCCAACGCACCTGAGAGTAGGACGAGAAGCAATGGGTGGAAACTAATCAAGGAGAGAAACAATCTAGAACGAATTTCCTGACAGTTAGAACAATTAATTAGTGGAAGAACTTGTCTCCAGAAGTTGTGAATGCTCCAACACTGGAAGTCTTAAAGATGTTGGATAATGATTTGTCTGAAGTGGTGTAGGGTTTCCTTCCTAAGAAGCGGGTTGGACTAGAACATCTCCAAGGTCCCTTGCAACTCTGCTATTCTATTCTATTCCTATTCCTATTCCTATTCCTATTCCTATTCCTATTCCTATTCCTATTCCTATTCCTATTCCTATTCCTATTCCTATT